TCCGCTCCGCTCCCGCCGCCGCCGCTGCGGGGGAGACGGAGACGAACCGCCCCCGCCTTGCGGGCGTTTAAAGATTAGGGGTCCGCGTCTATGTCCTAAACAACGGGATTTGGATACAAGCAAGTTCAGCTTTGCCGGTAAATCTTTAACCTTCTTGGGCATCTTAGGGCAAGACTTCTAAGGTGCTCGTTGTAATTTTGTGTGTGAAAAAGTTGTAAAAGAAATCTGAGAGTTTTATGAATGACCTGATTGCTAGACATGAATGACCATCCGGTATTAGCAGAGGTGTGATACATCTGTAACAGTAGGGGTGGCATCACTCAGCATCATAACATGGCTATAAATTCTGCTATAGAGGCTACAAGGTCAAACGGTTTATACCTAAATACCTGAGCATCCTAGTAACACACACTTTCACTTGGCTGCACAGGACTTGTAATGCTGGGTTAGTGGTTAATTTGCTGTCAGAAAGTTGCAACTATGTCACTCAATGTTACCTTCTTCCAGAAGAGTGTGTTTTGTTTTGTTTTGTTTTCTTTTGTTTTGTTTTTTTCCACTTGGAAAGTATGGAAACCAGGTAATAAGACATCTAGCACTGGCAGGATAACACAACTAAAACTTTGGAGTAGGAGCGCTCTACACCTTGGCTCTAACTGTGGATCACTTACCATCTTGGGACCTAGGTAGGGTACATAAACTGTTGATGTATGGGTAGATTTCAAAGTTAGCAAACCTGAAAAAGTGTATTTCTGGTTTATGAATAGTGGTGCACACATTTCACTGTAACTCAGATACTATATGTGATATTATTCATATTACTGAGAATAAAATGCAAAAAAAATAATTGGATTCCTCAAATTAATTGTATATGCTGGAGGAAGTGTCTCTTTTTGAGGAAATTTCCCCCCTCCTATTTGCTTGTCATTTCAAGTTCTCAATACCACCGTACTCCCTACAGATAATGTTTATCTTTTCCATAAAATCATATTATTTTTTTTCAGTGTTACAATTCTTACTCTGTTGCATGCCCTTCCATCTGCCATTTACTTTGCTTATCATCCTTTGTTTGCCCTCATGGTGTTTCTTACTCCCTTGATGCCACCTTTCTAGTTTTCTGATTCTTGTATGTTTCCTGTGACTCTTTAAAATTTCCTGTAGCCTGTTTCCATGCATTTTCTCTTTTTGCCTGTCCTTAAACTAGCTTTAGCTGCTCTGCGTTTTTCCCATGCACTTCTAATTGTTACAGTGGACAAAATGGCATCTGTCTTTGCTGGGGCCAGTGTGTTTTCTGTCTCATTAAGAAAAAAATTATAATGGGAGTTTCATTTTTAAAAGAAAATTCAGTTTTATGAAGAAAAAAGACACAATAGCCACAAGGGTGCTTCTGGCATTGATTCCTTTTGATAGTAAAAGGAATTGCCATTTTGAAGTTAGAAACTACATTATACAAAAATTGAAAACCAGGCCACCAAGTGAATTGTAAGAAAGAACTGTTGGGCCACCATCCTGTTTCCAATAGTGGCCAACAGCAGGTGTCTGCCAAGTGTTTTGGAGCAGGGCAAGTGCACAGCAATAAAAAATAAAAATACTCTCTCCACTTCCAGTGATTTGTGACCATAGAAATTTCTGAGTTGAAATGGTATCTTCATATTTCGGACCCCAGAGTGTGTTTTTTTTTTTCTTCTGCTGATAAGTGTAATGATCACTTTTGGAACCTGGGCACGTTTCTGGCACCCTCAGCACTCTGTCAGGGAGACCCACATCTCAGCTGCATGTTGGCTAAAAAAGTACCTCTCTATATTTGTTTGGAGCCTGTCTCCTGCTTGTTTTATCTGATGCCTCTTAGTTCTTGTATTGGAGGAAACAGAGAACAGTCATCCCATTTCACCCTCTCCATGGCATTCATGACTTTGGGACCACTACAGTATCCTCCACTCAGTTTTGTCTTTTATAGGCCAGTATTTTTAATCATTCCCTTTATGGCAGCCAGTCTGTAACACTGATTGTCATTGTTACCTTTCTCTGTATAATATCTGGGTTAATTTATATTCTCAAAATTGGGGACCAGAACTTCGGTCCAGGTTCAGTCCTTATGGATTTTTATATTGGCATAAGAACACTATCAGTTTTGTTCTCAAATCCTTTCCTAATAATTCATAGCATTTGATTGCATTTCAACCAGATTTTCATCTGTTTTGTTTTCCAACCAGATTAATTTGATTGTTTTTTCCAACCAGATTAATTCAACTTTTTATGTACTGATTAATGTGATTTTAATTTCTGTTTTTGAGGACTGTCTGCTTCTAACCAGATGAAACATTCATATTCGAGTCTCTGCTAATTTCAATTATGTGGTAACTTATGTTCTCATAAGTAATCAGTGTTGTCAGTTTGGATGCTTTCCCCTTACTTTTTATCAAGTAATCAATTTTTTGCATTAGCAGTATTATTTGGGGTAAAACCAATGTCGTCATTTTGCTCTTTTTTACCCATTTTCTTTAGTCATCACAAAGAGGCTTTGTTTGTATTTGGGGCATATGCCTTGTGTTTCTTGCATAATCTTATCATCATCCCTGGTTAACTCATTGCTTCCTTTGGAAGCACAGATTTTTCTCTTGCAATCTTGGGAACCTGACAATAGAAAGCACATCTCAAATCAATGTCTCTACATTTCTCTGTTAAAACAGGAATTCATCTGTTCCAATGAATAGAACTCAGCATTTTAGCATTACATGACTTAAAAATTCACCTAGTGAGTCACTGACAAGGGGCGTGAGCACATCTGCAGCACAGCGTGGGCAGGGGCCAAGGGCTCATGCCCAGCTGAAAATCATTTGGGGATTGAAGGGGGATGACCCTGTTGAGCCTTCCCACAGTTCTTGTTCTTTCAGTGCTCTGTACAGCAGAACAGTGGAACTCAGCCCTGAACCCAAGCAGGGAAAGTAGGGGGGTGTTGCACGTCAGTGCACTCAGGACTCTGCCACAGTGTTCACCACTGTGTCCTCTGAGAAAAATTTCAAAAGAAGTTTTCTTATGATTGTGACCGCCTATTGACTTTTCCTTTATTTTCTTTCTCTCTGCTAATATGAAATAAAAACTTCTAACTTTATATACTGTATATATATGTATGACATTTTATGATGGGAAGTCCATGATCTTTATAGATAATCACAATTTTCGTGGGTTTTAAGTTAAGATTTCTGAGGCCTTTTTTCATTGTATCAAAGCTATTGTCAGTCTCCTGATTTTAGACAAGGCCTAAAATACAGGATTCCTATATCTGATCTTCATAAAATGAGGGATTATTTATAATGTAGTTCTCGTAGCCTTCTTTGACCTTTCCAGGTTTTAGTGAGCAATGAGAAAAGCTTCCTGTAAATGTTGCTTTAATGCACATTTCTCAATGTGTAAAGCAGAAGTTCTGGTTTCCTGTGAATCTTTGTATAGCAAACTAAAACAAAGGCAAACCTCAAAGAGCTTTTGGAAATGGCTGAAGCAGTCAAAGAACATAAGGGTAATTCTGGACCCTGATTTCTTTCATAACTCATTGATCTGAGCAGGATCTCTGTTTTCCTCTGAACATCCAAGCTGATTAATTTTGCATGACTCATCAAAAAGGCTAACGGATGACTAACATGTAGAATACTTGTGCATTGAGCAATCATGCTGGGTTCCTAAGCCAAGGGAACTTTCTGTTAAGAAATATTTGAGACATTTTAATCACTTATAATGCCTTTTATTTGCAGGTAGTTCATTAGTTTAAAAATGGAATTTGCAAAATGGAAGTCTCTTTTGAGAGAAGCGGTTGAGTAAGTTATTGCAATTGAACCTTTGTGCAACTTTGTCCTGCAGGATTAAGAATGACAAACTAAATGTATTTACATGGATAAAATATTTATTTTTTTGATGATGATAATGTTTAGACTAAAAGACTTCATTCACAATTATTTACCACACAATATAGATAGTTACAACTATTAGTATAGTTTTTTTTTTAAGCTGTATTGAAGGAACAATGTTAAAGCTAGCAAAATAATTATTAAGTATGGACTGATGCTACTCATCCATACCAACAATCGTTGGCAGATCTCTTTTGCTCAATGTTGAGGAGTAACCTGGAGGGGCATCGCCACTCAAGAGAGGAGTTTCCACAGACACTCCTAGAAGGGATATCTTAGGAGTGCCTACTGTTAAAATGTGGAACTAGGCTTTTATACTATAAAGTGATTGACTGTCAGTCCTTTGTTTCTAGGCTAGCCATGTCAGCTCAGCAGCTTTAGATAAGTTATCAGTACTATCAGGTCCATTTTCAGGAACTTCACCACATCCTCACTGGTGCCAGTTTCTGTCAGGAAACACTGTTCTTGACATCACCAGAATGTTTAACTTTGGGATTCATGAGTTGAGCTGGTCTCAGCATTCTCAACACCAAAAGCAGCATGACACCCCTTTCTTCATCCACCAACTTTAACTTTAGCAAATAGGGTAAAGTTTGAGCTGTTTTGCTCCCACTTAGGCAGAGCATCCTGTTACACCTATTAGTTCATGTGAACAGGCATGGGGTCATAACAGGCCATGTGTGGGTTAGGAGTTGTTTCTCACTTGTCTAATCCCCATCCTTCTCACTCAGTTTTTCCCTTCTGTGTCCAGCCCTGGCCCACTTCTAGGCATACACTGAGTTTCTAGGAGAGGGAGTCTTGCTCCCGACACAACCCTCTCCATCCTCTTTTTCTCGTCAGTCACACTGTCACATATGTGTATCACTGTACCTTTCTCCACCCTTCTCCCTGAGGGCAAAGAGCCTTGCAGGTAGCAGCAGGGCTACAGACCTGCATAAGCAGGGCAGAGCATGTGATAGAGAGTCACAGCATCCATGCTGAGTAATTTGGTACTCCTGGCCTTGTGAGGTGATAATATGGTAGCCCTGATATGCTGCACTTTCCTGTGCTGTCCCTCTGTTTCAGACACTGTGCCTTATTTATCCTTGGCCTGAGAACACTGCCCTCAAATGACCTTTATTATTTACACCCTCCCATCTATCTTTTTGGCATCTTGCTGTATTCTTCGCTTTTATCTTTGCTGTTCCTTTCTTTCTTTACCTTTCTCTGTGGAGATGTCACCTTACTTGCATGTCTCTGAGTATGGCCTGGTGAGGCAGAAGGAGCAGCAAGAGTGAGAATTGTAGTGGTGGCAGTAATTCAAGAAAATTTGAGTTTGGAGATGGTGAAGGGGCTTCTAACTGCTGTCTTAGCTGTCAAAACTTTGCATAGAAGAGCTTTTGGGCTTGTGCCTTGATTTTTTTAACTGTAGCTGTTGAGTAAGTGCTGCCATGAGACACGAGAGGGAACTAAGGTTGCCTCACATGTGAGGAGAATGTGAGGGGAAAGTAGCTGTCACTCAGAGAGGTGGAATGTTTTAAGGAAGCAGCATTCTGGTTTTCATCTGACATATTTTGTTTATTCCTACATCAGTTTCAGAAGTAAAACCTAGAGTTTCTGCTGACTCTGTTTTCCCTGGGCAGTCCCCACTCACTGAGAATATGAATCAGTAGTGTGCATGATGTGGTTTGAATTATCATTCAGCTTAGTTAATACAGGTTGTCTGCTTTTCTATGCAGCATTGGTTAGTGGGTACTTGTTTTCTCTCCTGGGAAGTGGAGTATCTTGTATATCTAACAGTGGAAAATCACCTTATTTCACTTGCAGAAGACCTCTAAACTGTGCCTTGATGAGCTTTTATCAAGGGTTTGAGGCTTCAGTGCTTGGTAAATGGAGCTACATCTGGCTGGCAGTGGGTCACCAGCAGTGTTCCTCAGGGCTCAATTGTAGGGCCAGTTCTGTTCCATGTATTTATTCTAGATAAATTGGAGCACCAGGCAATGATTAATGGAATGAACTCTAACAAGTCCAAATGCTGGATCCTGCACCGGGGGATGCAGTACTGCCAGGCACAAGTATTAACTGGGAGAGGAGTGGCTGGAGAGTGCCCTTCAGAGCAGGTGCTGGGGGGGCTGGTGGGCAGCAGCTCAGTGTGAGTCAGCAGTGTGTGTCCGGGCAACCCAGAGGGGAAACTACATCCTGGGGAGCATCAAACATGGCATCACCAGCCAGTCAGAGGGAGGGGAACATCCCATTGTGCTCAGTGTTGGTGTGGCCTCATACAGAGTGCTGGGTGCAGTTCTGAGCCCCACCATTTCAGGGTGATGTGAAGGTCCTTGAATATGCCCAGAGGATGGCAATTGTTAAAGAAATTCTTGACACTAGGTTCTCATCTCCATCAGATAGATTTATTGGCACAAGTCAATTATGATATCTGGTAGCTGGAGCTAGGTGCCTCAAAAGAGGGACCCTGAACAGAGAAATCTCTGGCCATTATACTCTTATGATCTAACCTCCCCATTCCTCACATGACAGTCTGGACCAAAACATTATTAGGGTCTGGAGTCTTCTCTGTCTTCATTGTTTTGTTACCAAGAGGTATGGTCACTGTCACATCCTCTTAAGTTGGTTTCGGTGGGGGTTTTGGCCAGTTTTGTAATCCATGTTATAATATGGTTGTTACAGCTCATATACCACAATCTATGGGCTATTAAATTTTTTTAACACTCTAGCTGTTAATTTTTAAGTAATGTTTAAGCTACAGCTTTGTCTATTCTAACTATTATTAACGTTCATGGTGTTTATTATTAACATGTATGTTTTTATCTCCATGTTTCACTATGATCCATCTTTGACTTACACAACACAGCCATATGGTTCAGATTACAGCCTACAAGTTCAACTTGCAGCCTAACAATTCTAACTTATGTTAAACAAGCACTTAGCTACTTTCAAGTAATATATAATTTTCGACAGCAACAAAGCTGGTGGAAGGGCTGGCAGGCCCTGTGCCTCAGAGGAGGCATGTCCTGTGAGCAGCTACTGAGGTCTCTGGGCTCGTCTAGTTTGCAAAGATGGAGGCTGAGGGGTGGTCTCATTGTTCTCTACAGCTCCATGAGAAGGGGAAGGGGAGAGTGATGTGCTGATCCCTTCTACCTGGGATCCAGTGATAACACACCTGGAAATAGTTCAAAGCTGAGCCAGGAGAGGTTCAGACTGGACACTAGGAAGCATTTCTTTACTGAGAGCGTGGTCAGACACTGGAACAGGCTTCCTAGAGAGGTGATTGATGCCCCAAAGCTGTCAGTGTTTAAGAGGCATTTGGACAATGCCCTTAACAACATGCTTTGACTTTTGGTCAGCCCTGAAGGGATCAGGCAGTTGGACCGGATGATTGTTGTAGATCCTTTCCAACTGAAATAGAATAGACTATTTTACTTTCATGTATGGCCTGAATTTTATGCAGTTTGTCGCTGGTATAAATCAGTGTACTGCTGAATGGCTTGGGGAGTTGCTTAAAATGGTGGTGGTTTTTTTTTACCATGTGAATGATTCTTCTGGATGGCCGAGTCATTGGTTTGTGAGTCACTTGTGGTCTATGACTCTGTTCCTCAGATTATGATCAGTAATTATGTGTTAACTCTGGTTTTATTACACGTATAGACACGCTTTCACTTAATCTGAAAAACTGAAAATACTTCTGTTTTCTTTTGATTTTGAAGATGTACGGGACCAATTTTCTCTGTGTTTTTGGCTTAATCTTTGACACTTTCATCTTGTTTCTATTGCTGATTCGTGTGACTTACGGGCTGACTGTATATATTCTCATATCAGAGAACTGATCATTGGCCAGAGAATCAGATTTTTTTATTATTGCTGTGTGTCAGACCAGACCATCTGTGTGAATGACCTTTAACCTATTTTTCTGCAAGCAAGCAATCTTGTAAGACTGTCAGCTGCTGAAACAATTTTTGTTTCTTAGAGAGGAGTTGTTGAAGTGCTAACAATTATCCTGTGGTCAGACAATTAAGTCCGAAATGACAGCTATTTAAATATGTGGTTCTCTTTTCCTATTTGCCATTTTAACATCTGGTCTATTGAATATGTCCTTGTATGACAGAGCTCTCTGAAAAATGGTGTTTTAGCTTTGTAAAAGTTGCAAAGCCCCATCTTTCTTGAGGTTTTAAGTTGCTTTTATGTATGTACCTTTCTCCCCCAAAGCGTGGGGCTGTCATAGCCATCTCATTTTGTGTATCTTTTCTTAAGCTTGCAACCACAAAACTGGTATCAGCATTGTGGTTTACCCTTATTGGTTTACTTTGCTTTTGCTATAACTCTCCTAGCTGAAAAAGCAAAACAGAAACAGAACTCTGAAGCTGTGCCTGTACTGCTGGGCATCTTGCCACTTTCAAAAAAGGAAGCTGGGCAAACATTACAATTAAAGGGAAGATAGCAAGGTAAAGCTCTGTGTGAGATTATTTGCATGGGGTGGTGTTTTTTGCAAAAAAATTAGTTCATTTTCATCAATTCATACGATCTGATGCATTGGCACAAGCTCTCTGCAACGCACTCAGAATATGGTCAGATGGTGTGGCCAGGATCACTTGTGTGCAATGTGGATGACAAGGGATGCTGGTTGTCAAGTCTTCATCATGCTGCTGGAGTTTTTTATGGTACTACAAACTAGGTTTTGGGCAAATCTATCATATCCTTCAGGAGTTATCAGCTGGGATGGGATGGGTCTTTGCTGTAGAAACTTGCCGAATCCAGGTTTCACAAATCTTGGGTCAAGTTGTTACCTGGGTTTGTTTTGTTTGTTGGGTTTTTTTAACATCTTTTTGTTGTTGTATGTTTCTTCCTTGTCTGGATGCATGTTTGAAATACATGCCTAGGGTCTGTTTTTCTTTTGGGCCAACAGGAAAAGGAATAGGGTTTGTGATATGCTGCACTCTCGTTACCATCCTTCTGGTGCAGGATCTTTTGCTGATGAGTCATCTATGCTGTGGTCTTACCAGAGTGTAGACCTTTGGCCATGACATAAACATATTTCTCAATTTCACTGCTGGGAATAGTGTCTTGAAAAAAAAAGTGTCCAGGGAATGGCGTCCTTCATTATTGGTACAGGCTGTTCTTCTAACCCTTTGTTAGTGTGTGTGTGTGTACACATTCATGCTCTCTTACAGTAATATGGCAGTCATGCCAGTCTTAATATTTCTGTTAAGATTGGCATGACAACAGTAATTTTCAAGTGGAAAAATAGAAATAAAATCTTAAAGGAAAAAAAAGAAAATGGACATTTTTATGTCAGACTGTACAGCCTGATTGTTATCAGCTGCAGTTTAAAAGGTATATTTGATGTGGGGGAAAGTTGAAAACCTGAATTTCCCACACTTCTAGGGCTGACTTGCTCAGGAGTAGTTTTGGAAGCTTTCCTGTACTTTTCAGGCACTGAAATCCTCCTTTGCCTTCTTATTCCAGACTTCCCATCTTGTGTATTTACTCAGTAGAACTGCAAGCACTGGATGCATTCTTCTCCGCGGAACTGTTTCTACATGGTTGGCCTTACTGCCTTCCTTAATAAAAACATTCTTTTGCTCTTGCGTAACTTTCTTGCAAGCTGCAGCATTTTCAAAGCATTCTATCTGTAAATTGCACATCATGAAAAGTATTTGTTTTATATACAACCAGTTTGTCATAGAGACCATTATAGGGCATATTAGTAACAGAGATGACAGGCATCGATTTGTAGTTTTTGTGGGTTTTTTTGCCTTTTTTTTTTTTGTAAATCATCTCCCCCCATACATTTGTCAGTGGAGGGTGCTAATATCAGAATTGTCAAGTAAATTGAACTCACTGTTATAGTAAAATTTAATTCTAAGTGCTGAAGTCAGGGGTGCAGTCTGCAAGGGGTATGATGTTTTCTCATCTTGTTTCTCTCCTCTCTCCCTCCATCTGCATTTACAGGTTATCCTAACATTTCTCTGCGTGTTGACCAAGGAATCTGTAGAAATTGCTCCAGTGCCATATACACTGCAAGTCCATCGTGTAGCTCTGGATGGAAGAGACCCCTCTAACCCCTTGAGGAGAGAAAAGAAGCAGGTGCATTGTCAACTGGACCAATACCTACATCCTAGAAAGACCCACTGCTGCATGAGGTGTCATGCAGGTACGTAAAATAAATGCAGTAGTAGCAACCTTCACCTTAGGGGCATTTCCCTGTCCTGCACTCTCAAACTTTCTTTTTCCTACAGCTACATCAGCGCTCCCTTCCTTAGTACCTATCCCTTCTTATTCCTTATCTCTTCTTTTGGGCTGTCAGCGTCATTCACACTGGTGAGAGGAAGCATACTTGGTCCTTACACCATAAACTCCAGGGTTTCTTTGAGGAACCAGTGACTCTGGTCCTCTCTAAGACAATGCATTTGCCTTCCTGTCAGAGTTCTATTAAGTGATTTTCTTGCAGGTACCTACAAAGCAAGAGACTGTGATCGGCCTGACCAGGCACCTGTCTGTCTTCCGTGTGCTAATGGCACATTCACAGCAGTTGATAACATCATGTCTAAATGCTTCCAGTGCACACGTTGCCGTACAGGTGAGTTATTATCAAATCTGTAGGATCTGAGGAAAATGGTGGTGAGTGGGGGCTGGAAGGGATGGCAAGGTGAGTGAGGAAGCTTGAAAAAGTAAGTAGTTGAATGGGTAAGGGATCGGGGACAGCAGGAATAAGGGTTACCAAATTATTACAGTCTGAGACACAATTTGCAGGCCTTTTTGGCCTTTTTCTGTGAAAATGAGGGGATAACAATACCTGTCATTGTAACAGTGCTCTCAGCTGAAGGTGAGGGAAGAGGTTGGAATAATCATTTCTCCTTTCTTTCCTCAGAGCTCCAGCAGATAGTAGAGGCCCCCTGCACCCCAAAGCAAGATACTGTATGTGGCTGTCAGAAGAATCAATATCGGTTTGGTTCTGAATCTGATCTCTTCCAGTGTAGGAACTGCAGCTCATGTGACAATGGGATTATTGCCAGCTGTGAGTATGGCAAGGATATGGCTCCAGTACAGACATACTGTACTAGGGTAGACATTAACAACCCTTTGCTCATTTCTGACATGCTGCAGTGCATTGCCCTGAAATTATTGTAGTTTTAGAACAACTCTTGGGTTTGTCTGCTCCCTTTCCCCAGAAAGACTGCCATTTTTTTCCTGCCTTGCCATCAATCCCTGCTTTCTACCGCAATTTCTTCCTTTTGTCCTTGAACGTTTTCCTGGTTTTTGGCTGTTGTAAGGTGATATTTTCTACTTAATTTTGGTGCCTCTGCCTTGCCTGTCCTGAAGCAAGGACTTTCTGCTCTAGAGCAGGTTTCCCTCTTGCCTTCCTTTTTTGTCTTTCTCCTCATGCTCATTGCATTTCCCTTACCAACTGCTGGAAGGACTTTGAGTACAATGGATGAAAATACTGCTGGTCCCAGTGCTCAGCTGAACTCCTTGTCAGTCGGTTGCTGAACCACCACAGTGTTCCATGCAGTGTTTTAAAGAAAAGAGCTGTTTAGGTAATGCTGAACTATACCCCGTGGAATTGGGCATTACCTTGAGATGATGCGGGTGTCTGGGAGAAGTACCTGTGTTAGCTGTCCTAAGGTGCCTCATCTCCAGTCAGGAATCAGAGATCTTAAACAAATACTGTTTGCTGCCCTCCACTTTGTGCTGTATTCTAATGTCCCTTAAGTGCCTCTTACCTTGCTGTCCTAAAGCTATCCCCTCTCCTCTGCAAATTCTGCTGCTCCCAATCCCTTTCCCATCTCTTACCCTGTCTAGCATGAGGTTTGCTGTTTCACTGGTGAATGTGTTCCCTCTGGTGCTTGGTAATCTTGTCACGGTTTCCACACTTGTGCTTATCCACAATAGTCATCATCGTGCGCTACCCTTGAGCAGTTTCCTTCCCTCTTAGTTGACGTAGAACTGTTTTAGTCCTGTCCCTCACTTGCCACAGAATGCTGCTTGTTCTAATACCTTTTTCCCTTCTCTCATGTAGCTTGAAGTCCTTCCATTACTATTCTTGTCTGCTCCTCCTCACACCTGTTTTACTCAGTGTCCATCCTGTGACTTGCTTAGAAGCGATAGCTCTTGCGTTTCTTACCCCTTCCACTCACAGAATATCAGATCACAAGAGTGGATATGTGTCCCATGGCTTGAAGTGATTTCTCCTTGCCCTGAACTGACTTCCTCACCAGTCCCAGCTGCTCAGGGACCACTTCTCCCTCATCTTTGCCTGACTAATGTGGTTTCCCCTTCCTGTCATGCTTGAACTTGAGTAACTTTTCCTGCTTTTGCACATTAGACCAATTTCAGCTGCATTGTAGTTTTAGTCCCTTTCCAAGCCTCTACAGAGGTGACCCACCTACAAGGACAGTGGTGCTCTTACCTTTTATTTACCTTTATCCTCCTCCAATCCTGTCTCGCATGTAGACTGAATCCTCTTTCTCTTCTTCAGTAGCAGTTTTCCGGGCTTAAAGAGGGGTAATCTCTCACCCATCTTGGAGTGGATTTTTCTCCTTTTGTTTTCTTCTCTGGCCAGATTGTGGCAACAGTTTCTTCTCTACAGGTTCGAAGGACAGGAACACGATTTGCAGATGTAAGCCTCAGTTCTTCCTGTCACGTAGTAACATTTGCAAGCCTTGCAACAGGTGAGCTTTTTTACTCTGGATGTCCCACCACTGAGTAGGAGAGACAGCAGTTATGAGCTCCAAAGAGGGAGGAAATTTTTCTCTAGGCTCTTTCCATCTAAACATAACTTTACAACATTCTGCCTTTCTGGGGCAATTAGGTTTTCCCCTCTGCCACCCTCAGTCTCCTCTGTGTAGGCAACAGCCCACTAAAAAGACAAAGTCACTTGCCACACTGCATTGCTCTGCTTTACAGGCTCATCTTGTCTTAACAGTTAATTAGGATGATTGCAAATGGCTAGTGTATCATTTCATGCACACTTGCATCTCTGTTTTTCTCTTTCAGCTGTGCTGGAGAAGAATGCTTGCAGTGTCATAGCCCAGTGACTACCCCACCAACTTCATCCGGGCTGAGTGAGTATCAGGGAACTGAGGGGCAGTGGAATCTTTTCAGTGTGGGCTGTTGTTCTGTTAATACCTTTTGAAAAGTGTTTTTTCCACTCTCTCAAACCATTATATATTATTACATATATCTTCACTTGCTGTTCTTCCTCTACCTCTCCCTTTCTTAGTCAGTCACACATTTGCTCTCTTCCTTTTGTCCAGGTGGGACCCTTGTCCTTGGCATCCTTGTTGCAATATTTGGAGTTATCTCTATCCTCTACATTGTAAATAAAGTAGGGAAGCTGGTCCGGGAAAATAGGATAATGTCGCCTTTCTACTCCTGTGGTGAGTACAGCAGCATATGCAGTGATATTGATTGGGATAGGCATCATTTTCTGCGTGTTTCTGTATATGCACACACATGAGGGGACAAGTGGGATCCCTTTACTCTGCTTTTCTGCAAGGCCAGAGAACTCAATAGCTAAGGCTATTGTTAAGGTTCTTGCAACTCTTCATCCATGCCCACAGCTGTGAGTGGAAGTGCATGTGAGCTCATTGCTGGGATATGTGCATTTTGCTGTAAGGCCTTTTGGAGAGCAGGACTGTGATAGCTGCTTTCCTGTTTTCTCTGGGACGAGAGGAAGTGAAAATAACTTCTGCCTTCTTTTTCTTTCCTTTGAAGTTTCTTTGCCACAGACAACCAAGGAGCCAGTATCAGAGGTGAGCAAGATGATGGGTATAAGAGTTTACCTTCCGCTTTTGGCTATGTTAGCCTGGGATCAAGAGTAATATTTTTCCCCATGGGCTGTTTTCAGGCCTTGTATTTTCAAACGAACTGAGTAACAAGGCTGTTTAATTCAGAAGTCGTTTTCTGTAGAAGATGGAGCCATTAACATTTTACTTCCCTTCTTCTACAGGATGCTTCTCAAACTCCTGGTTTTTGCTTTTTTTTTTCTGAATGCATTTTGTTCGGATAGCTGGCCCTTAATCCCCTTTTCTCTCTGTGTACCCCAAGCTTGAAGGATTTAACTAATTTTATTTCACTTCAGATCTTGACTCCACTAGCCTTTCAGTGCTGCTTCACAGCATTCTCTCAGGTCCAGTGTAGCTCTGTAAATAAGAGAGTCCAAGCAGTAGTTGAGGTGGGGGTTTCCACAGCCTTACAGAGAAGGCTGATAGGAAAGGTAGAATGTGGAGTTTTAGAATGGTGGTGATTTTGGGTCTCAGCCTTACTTGATTTTGTAAAGAAATGTTTTTTTCCAGACTACTGGTTTTTGGTGCCAAAAAAGAGTTACACTCTTAGGGTTCTGGTGGAAAGAAATGTTTGGTGTTTTCTGCTCAAACGCAGCATATAGGAAGAACTAAAATCTCAGCACCTGCTCCCCACCTGTCTTGGATAAATTTTAGTATATAAAGATAGTGATTACTTGCAGGAGTACACTTACAGGTGTACTGTGCTGCTGTGGGTGATTCTGAACTAAGCAATGTATCTTTCAGGTTGAGGTAAAAAGAAATGAAACTTCCATCCTTCTTCCTGAGTCCCAGAAGGAAATAGAATTGCCAGTGAATGCAACACCATCTGCACCTCTGCCGCAAAGTTCACATGAGTTACCAGACTGCGTCAGACCTGCGAGGAAGACACAGCTTCCAGACAGTAAGTGGAACTCCCCCATCCCTCCCTCCTTCCCCAGGCAAACAAGAACCTGATTATGCAGATGCAGCTAGGAGTGTGTTGGACAGATCTTACCCAGTGTACATGACCTGTGTGTATACTTCATGCATGGCACAGTACAAAGGCAGAAGCATGCCCAGAGCCTGTGAATGTGGAGATGCTAAATATCTATGCAAGGCGTTTCTGTTGTCCCTTTTCCCTACCAGCAAAATGGATTGTGTTGACATTCTGTCAGTTTTAATGCCTCTGGGGTAGTGACCCAGAACAATTTTTTTTTCAGCAATGTATGGCAGCAAGGCCCTAAGCATGTTTGGTCATAACCTTACACAAGAGCATAGGAAGCGTTCTCATTACATTTTGAGGGATAAGAGCAAGTCTGGACATCACATGAGTCTGTGTGATCACTCTGGAGAAGACCTTAACAGGAGGGGGCAATGCAAGATCCCAAGGCACCATCCAGCCCTGGATTAGTTGCATTCTCCTTGAGGCTGCATAATCTTGTTTCTCATAGTTTTCCTTCTCTTCTCACAGACCCTGCTATTCTCTACACTGTGGTGGATCACGTACCGCCATCTCGGTGGAAAGAGTTTGTGCGGCGTCTGGGTCTGAGTGACTACGATCTAGAGAGAATTGAGCTGGACCATCGGCGTTTACGAGATGCTCAGTATGAAATGCTTAGACTGTGGAAACTGCAGATGGGCCGTGCTGCAACTGTGGAGCACATCAGCTCTGTTCTCAACCAGATGGAGCTCAGTGGCTGCAGTGATGCTATTCAAGAGGCTTTGCTAAACCAGAACTCTCCTCAACCTTGCAGCCTCCACAACCATCTTTAATCTATTTCTGCTTTAGTTGCCTTTGCTATGACTGTTAAGAGAGGATCATAACTCTCTTACTTTTTGCATATCTCCCCATCTTCCTAACACTCGTCAGCTGGGTTTGTTGGAGACAGCAGCAGATTATGCTAGAGGAAGGCTGAGGTTTTCTTCTCAACCAGTCAACACCTTTAAGCCACGACAGACCCCTGCAACAACTCCTTTTCTAAGGAGGGAAAGCACCTCATAAAGGAAGAGGTGTGTGGACTCTGACTAAGATGAAAACAGGAACTCCAAGTGACTTGATAGATCAGCTGCTCTATGGATAAGTTGTTGCTGAAAGAGGTGCTCCACACACCATGTGGTGGGTAAACTTGTAGGGTAATTTGGTTAGGTTACCCATTTAGATGCTAAAGAACTTACTCACTTCTTGCAGGTCTATTTTTCTGCGAGATCAACCAGTTGAAGTGGCTCACATTGCAGCCTTTTGATTGCTCAATCTTACTCGGGAAGTGGCGGGGAGGTGGGGGGGTGGGGAGGTGGGTGGGAAATGTGCCTATTTCTGGAAGCAGGACAGGATTGCCCCCTCCCGGTATCAACTAGGAATTATCGCTGTGGCAAAAGACTCGTTGAGATTCAGAAGTGGTGGCTCTCTGTGAGAAACGGGAGAATGGTATCCTTTACACACCATTTCCCTCAGGCTCCAGAGGAGTAAGTGTTCTGAGCCAGTGAGTCAGATGAGAGAGTTGGTGCTTATTTTTCTGAGTTTTTTTTCTATACCTAGAAACCATGTAAGTTAACATTAACAAAACACCTGCCTGTGTGTTTGTCCAGAGTGGGAAGGAATGCATGCATATGTGTGGGTGAGATGGTACCTATGCACCTGGTAGCATGAGCACCTCTGCAAATCTGCGCTTCCATACAGGTTGGTAGACTCATGTCTACCTGCTTATCTATCTGAATGATTCAATGAATCTAATCTAACTGCAAATGGGACTGTGTATGTGTCTGTATATATATTTTATCAACTGTTGAATAACTTCACACTACTTCCTGAACTGCATTCTGTGATTGCTGCTTGGGTGTGAGAGCCATTTGGTACCATGTCCAGGCTCTCACCGTCATTTTCTCACTGCTATTACCCTGGGTGAACCAAAAGTAGCAAAATCAATCAGCCTGCATCAGATGCAGGTTGTCCACACATTTGTAACATGAATTTTTTTTAGTCTCTCATCCCTTGACCAGAGAGAAACTTTCTATTGTAAATACACTAAATTCTCTGAATTAAAATTAATATTTTTATCTCCGTTCTGGTTTTGTTCATATCAGCTTCTTTTCTGGGACTGTGGAGGGGGGCAGAAGAAGGTGAATAACTTCCAAAAGTGGCAAGCATGGGTGGCTTGGTGGTCTCATTTATTTTTTAGGAGAACCACCCAACTTTTATGTGCTTTTGTATGTAAACCTTAGCTGACCTCAAATGACAACAAGCTAGTTGAGGGCAGGAAGTGGGACTGAAATTAAATCCAGTTACAGGTCTTCTCAGATATTCAAGAGTTAAAGGGGATGCTAGCACATTTAAAGTGAATTTTTAAACAATATGCAATGAGTAAATTTGATTTGTATTTGGTTTTTTAAACAGGAAAATATCTTTAAATAAAAGAATAATAATAGGTTAAACTTTAATGTTAATCTTACATGTTTTTTTCTGAGGAACCAAAGCATCATGTTAAGGCTATTCCACTTGAAGGTTTCCTACTTGAAACCTGGAAATTCCTGACAGTCGATGGCAAAGCTGGAAACTGAAGTCACTTTTAATTCCCAGTTTGAGGCTTTGTTTTGCTATGCCTACACACTATTTTAATTGAGGAGGATTTTTTGTTTGTTTGTTTGTTTTTTTAAATCAGAGACAGTACAAAGCTCACTGTAATACACTTGTTTTCATAACTTCCACAAGCACAGCAGCATTGTAACTATTAGAAGTACATGCTGTAGACTGAAACTGTGCTTAAACTGGGGAAATTCTCAGAAATCTTCCAAGTCTTGGGTTTTTTTTTCCCCCCACACCTCAAACCATGTAATCCATCATTTAAAATCCACAAAGGATTTAAAATTTCAAAGGTCATGGCACAATATAAGCCACAAGCAACAGGCCTCAGGCCACTGCTTGGTTGCCAGTGGCCTCATGCAGGAGTTTTACAGAAATCCATGGCTATGAAGTGTTTCCGAGAACACTGAAATTCTCTTCAAGGTAATGACGGTGACATGGGTGGGTAATATATATATGACTGTGGGAGTGGAGGTTCCTCACGCTGCTGCCTGTGAGCCTCAGAGCAGCCGCCAGAAAAACACAACTGTTTCTGTAATTTTATTTATTTGCCTTTCTACTAATCGAGCAGCTAACACTGAAGCGATGATGCCCGAATATAGAACATTTACATTACAATTGTACTGTGTACAGTTCTGATGTCCCCAACATAAGAAGGACATGGAACTGTTGGAGCAAGTCCAGAGGAGGGCCACGAAGTTGATAAGAGGGCTGGAGCACCTCCCCTATGAAGACAAGCTGAGAAAGTAGGGACTATTCAGTCTAGAGAAGAGAAGGTTGCATGGAGACCTCATAACAACCTTCTGGTATCTGAAGGAGGTACAGGGACTGTTTGTCAGGAACTGTAGTGACAGGACAAGGAGTAATGGGTACAAACTGAAAGAGGGGAAATTTAGGCTGGATATTAGGATGACATTATTTATTGTGAGCTTGGTGAGGCACTGGAGCAGGTTGCTCAGGGAGATTGTGGATGCCCCATCCCTGGCAGTGCTCAAGGCCAGGTTGGATGGGGCTCTGAGCAACCTCGTCTAGTGGAGGGTGTCCCTGCCCATGGCGGGGGGGGTTGGCAGTAGATGATCTTTAAGGTCCTTTCCAAATCCGCAACATTCCATGATTCTATGGAAACACATTGGTAGACTCTCCGTCCCAACAGATGGGACTCCCCCCCCTGCCCGGAGGCGATGGGATCGGGCGTGGCCCGCTGCCCCCCCCCGCCGCCTGCGCCGGTGGGGGGCGCGGTGCGCGCGGGAGGGGGCCGCGCGGGGAGCATCGCAGCGCTCCCGGCGCTCCCGGCGCCGCAGCCCGGCCCGCATGGCCTCAACAAGTCCATGCACGCCCGCAACGCTACAGGACAAGCCGCCTGACTTCGCTACCTGGCCGAATACCCCGAGTTCCAGCAGACGTGCAGCCACCCTCGCCGGCAGGGTGGGTACGGCCGGGGCGGATGGGATGGGACTGGATAGGCTGGGCTGGGCTGGGCAGGCGCCCGTGTGTGTGTGTCCGCCCCCGGGCGCCCTTAAAAGCGCTGCCTGTGCCTTTCAGCCTGAATTTCAAGGACCCCGAGGCAGTGAGGGCTCTGACGTGCACCCTGCTGAAGGAGGATTTCGGGCTTACCATCGATATCCCCGTGGAAAGGCTCATTCCCACCGTCCCCTTGAGGCTGAACTACATCCACTGGGTTGAGGATCTCATCGGCCACCAGGATGCTGAGAAGCAAGTGCTGAGGCGAGGCATCGACATAGGTACTTGGCAAAACAAAATGTTTATTTCATTGTTTCCCGTCAGCGGGTATAATTTGTTGCACACCCACAGGGAAACGTGAAGTTTGAGATACAAAAAAAAGTTTGAGTTTGGCTTTTTGGATCCTTGAATTCTCTTGAGCGTTCTGTGGTACCCAAAAATTAGGCTGCTACTAATACAGGCAAAAACGTCATTCTACAAGAATTTAGAAAAAGAAAATATCATGTTTCCTCTTAATGTTCTAACCAATGAATTGTGTTTAATTTGTAATCTATTAATTTTGCTTTTGAATGTCTGCACAAGAGAGTTTGTGAGTTGCATCGCAATATTTTCTAGTGTTCCATTTAATAACATTTTTTCTGCTTTTATGGGTATTTTGACAGGTGAATGATCTGTCCTTTTTAAACTCTGATTTTTATTTTAATTTATTTCAATTTATCTATTTTCATAAGCTAAATTGTAGAAAAGGCTTAATTAGAAAACAGGGCAAATGCTAGTGAAGCTGTATTTTGGTTGTAGATGGTCAAAGCTTTCCTGTTTATTGTAGAAAAATGTTCTTTAAAGTGATCTAAGCATCAGCAGATGGATACTATTTTCCAGTGTAGTTTCTTCAGTTTCAGTCTGGATTATTAGGTAATAGGAGGACAATATTTATATTAGGCAGCAGATTAATGTAAACAGTTACTCAGTAGAAATGTGAATTTATAAGATGTACACTGATGCACATAATTTGCTTTTCATTAGAAACAAAAAAAAAGGCAAGCTCTGTAGGAACTTCTGCATACAAATAATAAAATTGGCATTTAGATTCCAAATTTTTGGTTATTCTATGTGAATTATTTAAAAGGCACCAATAGAAGTACATTTGAATTTAGTTCAGATCTTTTATTTTGTCAATAGAATCTTCCTTTACAGTTTCGAAGGCTTGTTTTTGAAGATTGTTTTGTGCTGAAGAAAACTCATAATGAAAGTGAGAGAAGCTGGAATTTAATTTCCAACCCATGTTTTAATGCTTGACATTAAAATTAAAACACTGACTTCCTCAAAGCTTGGATTCAGGAATCTGGGTAACTGTGCCAGATTTTACATTTCTGTTTTCTTGGCATTTGCTAGCACGACTTTTTATAATGGAATTTTTCTATCTCCTGAAATTTGCTGACTTGTATTTTTAGCTGGAGTTATGCTGGATACCAGGTTTGTATCAATCACATGCTGTGTGCACAGATGCTTTCCTTTTATAACTTAAATTTCTTAGCCAGCTTCTATGCATTTGATATTAGTTTTCAGTTTTGAAAATATTTCTATGAACTTCATCATGGTAGGTGGCTGGGTAGAAGAGACAGATCCTCTAAGTCCTCCACATACTGCAAAATCTTCAGTTTGAGTTTGCATGAGCTTTCGTGTTCCAGCTCTGGGAAGGCAGTAAATCATCCAAGAGAGATGTTACAGCAGTGCTGGAAGTTACCCCATGCTTTTGCCTACTGACAGACATTGTCATGGATGTTTCAATAAGTCAGTATAACAGATTCTTGATATATGTCTAAACTCAAGTTTTGTGGTGGTGGGATACCTTTCCCTTGTATTCATTCCCTTTAATCCTGAATTTAATAGTTATTGGTAATTTGACCACCTAGATGTGCTGTAACTATTTTGTGCTAGCATCTCTCTGTTACCAAGTTTTTGTCCATTTGTCTGTCTTTTTAGTTATCTTAATTGGTACTTGTGGTTTTTTGATAGTTTTGGGCATCCAAGAAATTTTTTCTGTGGTTGCTCTATGAATCAAAGTAAATTATTTGTGATAGATAATAGAAAAATGCAGAAGAAATATATGTTTGTGGTAGTAAAACTAAAATTTGCTTTGGTAAAACCAGAATGTATTTGGCTTTCTGTATATAAATTAATCACTGTTGTACAGAAGGAAAATAGCTTAAAACAAAGTTAATAATTTACTAGAAATTTATTCTAGATTATTAAATTCTTTATGTTACTAAAAGTGCATATTTAACAATGTTATTTTTCAAATTATGAAAATAAAGCTCACTAAAGATCTGAGTAGTAGATGATCAGTAATCAGCGTTTTGTGAAGTTAGTTCTTTTTGTTGTAAAAAGTACATAGTTAACAGCCACACTAGGTATAACACCAGAGACTTACTTTGCCTTTCTCATGGATTTTCACTCCTGCAGGGACAGGGGCATCTTGCATATACCCATTACTCGGAGCAACCTTAAATGGCTGGTATTTTCTTGCAACAGAAGTGGATGACATGTGCTTCAATTATGCCAAGAAGAATGTGGAACAGAATAACTTGTCTGATCTTATAAAAGGTATGATGTAATAAGGTATTTATCAGTATACAAATGTTGTGACGTATTTTTGCCGTGTTCAGTGGCGTATCAGAATCTGTGTTCCTTCCAAGTACACGCTCAACTGTTTTTACTGAAGCAGAATATTCTCAGTATTACTGAGGCCCTTGTGTGCTTAAACCAAAAAACCAGCTCATCTAGCATGGGATGTGTGGATACAGAACTATTCTTCCTCACAAAAACTGAAAGTTAAACTTCATCCTGGGGTGTTTTTGTCTCTGAATTTCTTGTCTGTTACTGAAGTATTTCTTAGTGTTTGTGCTGTTTCTGGTGCTAAGTGACCTAGAGTGCTCCCCTTGGATAATTGCATGACACTGCCACATAGGCATATCTTGTACAGATAGAGTTCTTTTTCCTCATTTCTGAATGAGGTCCTAACAATGCCTGTGGTAGCAATAGCAGTATGCCAGAATTGGTCTGGAATGATCTTGGAAAATTTTCTGTAGGAACTCAGTGTACTAAAAAGCATTTTATCAGCTCTGAAATAAAAACTTTGCTTCTATTGGATTTTGGAAGCATCCTTATGAACAATATATCTTAGTCTATTGTCCATGTCAGTCTTGAAATCCAGAACTTGATTTGGAGAACACTTGAGAGATTTCTGTTAACTGCTGCCATCACAGGACTTTTAGTGGTGTGATTGGGTTTCACTATACTGGAAAAAAGGCTGGCAAAGGAGCATGCCTCATGAGAAGCTGTAGTGCCTGTAGTTGGAAGCCCTTAAAGCTCATTTGTGGTTGTATTGGAGAACTCAGTATAACTCATGCAGTCCGTACTGTTTTAAACAGACTTGTGGTTCTGCTGCTATGTATAAATAACAAGCTGTTTGTATGCAGATCCTCAACCTGAAGTCTTTATTTGCATGCTAGTATTTGTTACATGTCTTTTATAGAAAGTATTGTTTATAAAGTACAGCTTTTATACAATGTGTAATGTATATGGCATGCTAGATAGAATATGAAGTTCCTTACTGACCAAATTCACATTTTCTAATAGTGGTTAAGGTACCACAGAAGACACTCCTAATGGATGCACTGAAGGAAGAATCTGAAATCATTTATGATTTCTGCATGTGCAACCCCCCCTTTTTTGCCAACCAGTTGGAAGCAAAGGTAAGCTCACAAACTGAATGTTGCCTGTACTTCAGTATTCTGTTAGTGGGAAGGTAGCAACAATTTTTAACCTCTTTACTTGGGGAAACTGGATGGGAAAATCCCAGATCATTATGAAATAGCATTTAAGTCTTCTCCCTCCTCACCCCGTGGCCTCAAGGGAGTTTTGAAGACTTAACTGTTACCTTTCCGAAAGTGGAGGATGAGCTGTAGCATTGCACAAGTTCTTACTGTCTTAGAGAATTAGTTTGGAAACTAGACAGCTAGTAAATCTGTAATCAAGTGCCTGCTGCATAACAGTGGTGCAGAGGAATTAGTTTCTGGCATTATGCTTTTCTGTATTTTTTGTTTCCTTAGTGATGTAGACAGTATCATACAGCTCAGAGCAGGTCTTGCAATACCCACTGAATGCAGTCAGAAATGTAACTCTATAATATAGGCCAGTAGAATAAAGATTTAAGATTTAATAAAACACTGTAGTTTGTAATTGTGTAGATGCATGTAGTCAGCATGTCTTACACGTATTGGAACCACATACTTCATATTAGCAGGATCCTGATGTGTGGCAAGTAGCTTACCTAGGTTTGAGATTGTAGCAGTTTCACTGTTATGCTTATTTGGAATATATCTTTGTCTATTATCCGTGGTGCTGATGGGGGGAGGATAACTAGAGGTGGTGATGCTTGGTACCAACTAAAGACTAAAAGACTAAAGACAGAAAGCAGTGAACAAAACAAGACGAACATTTCATTAAATATTCATGTCAAATGTTCCTTTTTATTTTATCCAGGGAGTAAATTCTCGAAATCCACGGCGTCCCCCTCCCAGTTCTGTAAATACAGGAGGTATCACAGAAATCATGGCTGAGGGAGGAGAACTAGAATTTGTCAAAAGAATTATTCATGATAGTCTTCAACTTAAAAAGCGGTTACGGTAAGTGCTTTTGGTTCCAGTTAAAAAACCCCCAAACCAAACACCTTTTACCTTCATATTTGGCAGAAATCATGTGAAAATGATATTTTAAGTAAGGTATGTAGCTGTAGTCTAGTGGTATCTGTTTGGTTTGTTTAGTGATACATGCACATCAGTAATTGTTCCTGAGCATCAAACAATTAGAACTAATTGCTGGAGGTATTTAAAAGCAGACAACCCCTATATGAGTGACACTTGTTGGGTAGAGCCCTTCCCAAATCTTCGTTCGTGAAGCCTAGCCATGATGTACTTGCAGCTAAAATAGCAGACACTTACTAAAGACAGTCAAGGCTCATTCTGGCATGGAGGAGAGTTTATGACATTGCCTAATTATCTGTTCATTACCTAAAAGTTTCTATCTTTTCCTGGCTGAATTTTGGTAACTAGCAGCTCTGCCTACTAAAGGGCACTGTTGTACTGTCTTGGGTGAATATAGTGATGCCTTCTTTAGGAGAACATAAGCAGATAGCACATCAGTTCAGTTTTCTGACTATCAGGTTTTCACTCCCCCTGTGTTGTAGGTTAATATCTATAGCTGTTCTGGAAAATTCCTTTTTTTAATTATTTTTTAAAATATCCTTCTAAAATACAGCTGCCAGAATTTTACGTGTGTATTACTATAGGTACATCAGTGCCCTAAGAAAGGAAATACAGCTTGCCTTTTCTATGTTCAAGAAATGTTTTACTTTTGTCCTGTTTAGACCCTTCTAGGCAGAGCATTGCATAGAACCTCATCTAATTGTCACCCTGATAATCCTTTTTTTTTTAATGTACAGAATATTTAATTTGTATATGTGAACAATTTAAAGTGCTTGCCCTCAGTTTAGGTGCATACTTTTGAAAAAACTGTCCCTTGATAGTGGGAATTCTGATTTTTGTCCTTCAATACATTACATATATGTATTTATGAGTAAGCTTTTTGGATCCAGTAATCAAAAATTATGGAAGAGGGGGTTGTAGAGCTTGAATAATAATTTAGATGAAGAACAGAGCTGAAATATTTGGAGATACTGAAGATGTGGAGCTGTGTGGAAGGGTAAGCTTCACCAGAAGTGGGAAAATGAATTTCTTTCCTTTTTTCCCCCTGGTTTTTTCCTCATGAAGTATGGGTTAGTTTATAGAAACCTGGATAAGGAAGTTAATGGTGAGCAGGAGGAGTAGTCAATATGTCTGTTTCTGAGGTACAAATGCTTGTCAATAGTTGATTATTCCTTTTTATTCTGATTAATTCTCCAAAGGAAGTGGAGAAATCGGAACAAATTCTTGTAAGATGTAACATCTTCCACATAACTAGGGTCACTTATTGAAACAAAATTCTTGGTTGTTTAGGTATTGTTTCAGTAATAGTCTTAATGTATTTCCTAAAAGGTCAAAAAGATTTCCCTGTCCAATCTGTCTTTGGGCCTTCTGGTCTTAAGTTTGTTGTGCCATGTCCTAGTCACTCCGTTTAAGTGTGATTTTTGTTGCTGTTGTTGTTTTGGTTTTAAATCTCCTATTGTTCTGGCAGCTTTCTGCTCCAAGTAGTTCTTACTGGTAGTTGCCATTTTCAGTTGATCTCTATTTGTAAAACACTTGGTTAACGTGTTCTCTGCAGATGGTACAGTTGCATGCTGGGGAAGAAATGCAGTTTAGCACCACTGAAAGAAGAACTTCGAATCCAGGGGGTGAGTTTGTACAGAGTCCATAGATACCCTGTATATGTTCTATACAATATATACTATGTTTCAGTGCACTTGGGTAATTATTGTAGAATTATTTTACTGAGTTTTTATTACAAGAAGGAACTGCAATGCCTTGTTAGGGAAACAGTTAAGATTTAGTTATTGTAGATTCAAAGCTGACAGATAGGTAGTAAATACTGTCTCCAGGTTTTTGTCTTTATTGTGTGTTGAAGCATGTCTTCATCCATTCTAGAACCTACAGGGTTCCTGCTTCAAAATAGCCTCGTAGGGTTGTTGTAAAAAAAAATAAATCTAACTTTCTTTCCTCTTAGCTTACATGAAATCTAGCAATTTTGTTGATAGAAGAAATTGGAAAATGATTTAAGCGACAGCATTGTTTTGTTTGTGTACAATTCTGGCACCAAGTAAAATTGAACCTTGTGCTGCTATTCTCATTTTGATGGCTTTCTGGAGGAAGCATAGCATAGCATTTCCATACACAGAAAGTGATCATGAGATCTGCCCTTATATATGGGGGAAGGAAAGAGAATACATGATAAAATCAATTCCCAGAAAGATGAATTACAGGCCATAGGGAATCTGTAAATTCCATGCTAAAAGCAGATGCTGAGCTAGGCACAAAATTTCAAGCACCTGATTTTCATCTCTGTCCTTGAACTGTTGCGCCTCAGTCTTAGTAAAGTTAGAGAAATCATTGCAAACCTTGTTTCCTTTTGTATTTTTCTTTTTGTTCAGGTTTGTAATCTTTTTTGCATCAGAGCCGAGAATACGTTTGTTTTAACGAAGCACATATTGTGTTGTGGCTCACATTAGGATGCAGCAGAAATATTCCAGAAAGTCTGCTCATTGTTCAAACTGTCCTAACATTTGCTGTATTTATTGGAAATTTTGATAGAAAGACAGGAAAAGTTCTAGTATAGAGACAGTTTTTTCCTCTCTCTTTTTTCAAAAGTAGCAGATTTTTTTCCCCTTTTTTTCTCCTTCTATGCAGGCCCTGGGCTTATGCTTTGGAGCTGCTTATCAGAGTGAAGTGGGATGGTTGATTTTTATCCTTGCTAGTATTTAACACATTCTCCATACCATACATAAATGCCTTACAGCATCCATGCATGGAAAGACTAGACAACAGTAACATCTGAGTTTTAGATTTAAAGGCAGTGTAAATGCAGATTTGATTTTTTTGGAGCAGATAAAGAGTAGTGGGCAGTGGTATCAGGCTTGGCACTAACCAACTTCAGGTGGCCCTGATGTCTCTGAGCTGTGTCAGAAAGAATCTCCATTTCTGTCACGAGAAAATATGCTTTGTTTAAAAATGTGTGCAGTAGAGCAATGTTGTTTGTGAATCTGAAGTGAAGTTTTGTGTTACTTCTTTGGATAGGTTCCTAAAGTTACTCATACTGAATTCTGTCAAGGACGCACCATGAGATGGGCACTGGCATGGAGTTTCTATGATGATGTACAAGTACCTGTAAGTAGCTTAACCTGATTTGCTTGGTGATTGTGCCTCTTGCTTAGGAAGGGGCTAATGAGCTATAACTACTGTGATACAAACTGGTCTTCTTTGGATTGGAACATTGGATGTGCTGGGCTGTATGGACAGTGGAATTTCTTAGCTGGCTGGTGGTCTGTTAGCAGTTGTTACAAGTGATTCATGAGTGACCCATGTTCAGGGTGGGAAAAGGAAGCCAGTGTAGGAACTTCCTATGGATTTCAGTGAAAGTAAGGATAATTTGTAATATGAGAGCAGTTTAGTAGTAATAAAAATGTGCTAAGTTTGGGGCTGGATTTGAATTTAAGCTTCCTTTTGAGAACTCAGTTTTAATTTAACATGTAGATTCTGTTACCAAATAGTTACGATCATGTCTAACTCAGACTTGACTACATGAATGTATGTGGAGCTCGTTCACCTTAAATGTGAGCCAGTTGCTTTTTTGGATCTGGATGTTCATATACTTGAAGATAGGTATAGACAATAACCAACCTTACAGAGGACACAAGTAGAGCTTCAGTGACCCTGGATCAAAGTGTGGATATTAGCAGTTGACCTCTATTCCCAAGTGCAGCTGCATTTTCTCAGCTCACAGAGAGCTAATAGTCTGAAGAAACCAATGAAGCTTTTTGCCCAACATCTTTTTGCCCAACTAGTCCATCAGACTAGTGTAAAGTGCATGATACTATTAGCTGGTTTTAGTCTAAAACTCTTGAGGGTGAAGTAAAACAGGCTGTGTGAATGACTGTTTAGTGGCTTACATTATGGCTCTTAATCATCATGTCTTATAGAATCATAGTCTTCTGAGTACAAAAGTCACCCCACTAATACTGCATAGACTTGTAATTTGTTTTCTTTCTTTCTACTTCTAGTCACCTCCTTCTAAAAGAAGAAAATTAGAAAAACCACGAAAACCAATTACATTTATGGTCTTGGCTTCTACAGTCAAAGAGTTATCCATTAAAGCGGCAGCTATGGGCTGGGATGCTGTAGAAGCTATTGCTGTGGTTAGAGCCTGGGTGGAGAAGATTCTCACTGATCTGAAGGTACAGTGTGAAATACTAGATGTTAAAACAACATTCTAATTGAAAGCGTAACTGTGAGAGGATTAAATGAAATTCTGCTGTTTTCTGCAATAGGTTCAGCATAAACGTGTTCCCTGTGGAAAAGATGAAGTTAGCCTGTTTGTGACTGCCATTGAAAACTCCTGGATTCATTTAAGGAGAAAGAAACGAGAGAGAATAAGGCAGTTGCGAGAGCTTCCTCGAGCTTCTGAAGATATTCTGCAAGCAATGGAAGAGGAAAAGAACAGCCAGAAGAGTGTGAGCAACAATTTGGACTGTGAAAACCCCAAAACTGAAGACTCTGAAATGGGATTTGTGGCACCTAATGAGGATGTCCAGTTGACCACAGGTGATGAGCTACCAGAGGAATCTGCTGCCAAAGAAGAACACAGTGATCCTGTGAAGGAAGAGGAGATGGAAGCAAAGCAGGGAGAAACATCTCTTGGCAAAGGTTCTGGTGATGCAAAGGAGGAAACCTGCCCTTCAGAGGAAGCTAGCAATCTGACAGTTGAAAAAGAACAAAGCCCCAAAGAAACTAATAGATGTTTTCTCTTTAAGTGTTTAATGAATGTGAAGAAAGAAGGAAATGATGTGTTAGTAGAAATGCACTGGGTTGAAGGACAGAACAGAGACTTGATGAACCAGCTGTGCACTTACTTACGGAACCAAATTCTTCGACTGGTTGCTAGTTAGCCTATTTTCCTGCTTTGGTAAAGTAGGTCTGTCCTCAAATTTTGTAAACTATTTTTAATTAATTAAAAATTTCTGTTAGCAAAACATGTCTTTTCCCCCTTAAAAAACAAAGTAGAATTAAGATAGATGTGCCCTTTAATGTTTTAAATAGCTTTTTCAAAGCTGCAAGGAGGACATGAAGTGTACTTCAGTGGACCTGAAGTCATGAGGAAGTAATAGATTTTGTGCTGCAGTTGTAAAACTACATGTTAAAGTGAAACATGTCTATGCTGTGAGCATTTCGAGTATCAGCAGTGCTTATTCTGGTCTTTTTTCTGGCGCAATAGGTTTATATATTGTTTCTAAGTAGAATACTGAGATATTTTCTTCAATATTTTTTTAAATACTAATACAGGAAATGGTTAGTCTGCTGTGGGAATTGTTTTCTGCAGTGAGGAGTCTTCAGCAAAGGGTTTCAGTATGCCTCTTCTGTTTAATATATTTAACTTTTGGTCTTTGGAGTTGCAGAATGGATACATTCTCCAAGTGTCAATTCATTAAAATAATTGAAGTGCATGTTGTACTTGTCTGATGCTTGGGCTTTGAAACACAGAAGGGCCTACTGTTAGCATCTGGTTTTGTAAACATTAACAACAAAAGAAGCTTTTTGAGCTGCTTGATTTTAAAGAGGATTTAAATATGTTGACTCTACCATTAGACCATTCCTTACACTTACTCAGATATAATTGCCTGAAATGACAGCACTGTTCTTAAAGGATTTTGCTTCCATTTAACCTTGAGAGATTGCTTTAGTGACAAGACTGAGAATACATGCTCATCTTTGAGGGCCAGAAGTTCTTTCTGCAAGACAAAGATGGGTACAGAAGCTTTAGGTTTTTGCAAAGGAAGATAACTGGAATGAAAGCTGTTGCTTCCACACCTGACTCCCCAGTCCTTTTTAGTATTGGCTGTTTTCCCAGTGTTTCTGGGCCAATGACCTGTTCCTGTGAGAAGAGGGACATGGGTCTTTGATGCCTCAGAGAGGATGTGTGTATGTGTTTGAGATGATGAGCACTGGTGCCGCTTCCCATAAAAGGCAGATTTCCAAGCTGTGATCCATTTCTCTGTAGAGATATGCAGAACATGGAGAGAAGGTTTTTCTGAGAGAGTGGAGCATGTGTGCATGTGTTACCCAAAGTGAAACACAGCAGTGGTGGACAGCAGGAAATAACTACGTATGTTCGTGCTCCTGGAACCACTTTGAATATTCACCCTTAGTTCTTGATATTTCTGGAAAGATTAGTATGTTTCCTTAAGTTGAAGTCAAAAGCAGCTTAGAAAAGCCCTATTTTTTGATATCATGCTTTTTAGCACTTTTTTGGGTGATGGACAAAGACATGCATTTTTTGGATATTGCAGAATTTTTACTGAACTGCTTCTGAGGAGAGTGCAGAAGCACCGAGGAGAGATAAAACCAGTCCTGCTCTTTTAGAATCTGAAGCTGTTATTTTGGCTGAGCCATTCGAACCACCAAGCGAGGCTGTTTGTCCTTTGTGCTGTTCTCTGTTTAACGTTTCAGCCTCCTTCCCGCAAGGGTGAAGCGGCTCTACCAGGTAGGCCCGTGTGCTCGTGGCGTGCTGGTGCCGCTGAAGCAAACGCCGTCGCCTTCCTTAATTAACCTCGGCTTTTCACCTGCACAGCACGAATACCGCGCGCTCCCGAGCGCTGCTTAAGCAAAGGCTTATTTTGGCAAAGACAACTAGCGCTTTGTGGTGACGACACGCCGGGGGAGCAGCCTCCCCACCTCGTACCCTTTCCCCGCTGCCGCTCGGGCCGCCCTCCCGCCGCTCGGGGCGGGCTGGGTTTGAATGTCGCGGCGGGAAGATGGCGGCGGGACCGCCCGGGCTCTGCCTCCGCGCAGCCGCGGCCGCGGGCTCGCGGCGGCCGCTCGCAGGCGGGGGAGGCCGAGCCGCCCTGCTCCGCCGTCCCCGGCGGCCGTGCTGAGCCCCCCCAGCTGGCCTCGACCCTCCCTGCGCAGCAGCGCTCGGCAGGCTACGGCGAGGAGAGCGCGGCCCTCCTCTCCCCTTTTTCTTCCTTCCTTCCTTCCTTTCTTCCTTTCCCCGCCTTTCCCTCGGTCGTGCAGCGCGGCAGGTCGGGACGTGCTGGGCGAGGGGGAGCGGGGCTGCCCCGTGGGACGCGGCGGCGCTGTCGGAAGGGGCCGGGCATTCTCCGAGCCTCTCCCGGCCTTTTCCCCGGGAGAGACGCGTTGCCCTGGGGCAGAAGGCCCGACGCTTCGCCCCTGCCTTTCTCCTTCGTCGCAGTGGCTGCAGCTTGTGTTAGCAAGGTGGGGGGCGTAAAAACGTGAATCGAAGGATTTTCCTGCAGTAATCACTGTGTAGTTAAGGAAATGTGTGTTCTGTGCACTCTTCTGAGGTCGGGCCCGTTTCATTATACGTCGTTTAACGGTGGACCTTATTCTTTTCTTGGCCTCTAGGTGCTGCCATAATACAATAAACAGTGTAGTCTGTACTCTGGTGTACCAGGCAAGGCTTATCTGTGTTGTTAAATTGATTCAAGAGTGCATATACAATGCACAAGAAGCATATACAATATACTTCTATACACGATCTACAAGATGTTATATAAATGTCTTGTATTATACAAACATGTTGTGGTAAGATGTCATATCAAATGGTCCTGCTGCCAGCCAGAGCTACTTAAAGTGAAGCTTCTAGATGCTATACATACATTTTACCAGCTTATTGTGCTCTTGAATCACGAGAGACATCAAGATGTATGCAGCATCAAGTTATAGATAACATCTAAAATCAAGATGTTTATGTAGCATCTTGCAATTTCATTTGTTTTGCGATTTTTCTGTAACTTATTAAAGCATTTACATCTCTTGGTCTCTCCTCAAGTCATGCCACACCTCCCTGCTGTGGTTATACAATTTTATCAATTTCTGCAAATGGAGCTGAGCAAGGCAACCTACACCTTTCCACAGGGCAACTCCTCGAAGACAATTCAGTAAGCAACGCTTGTGTCCGACTGGCCCCACATTCTGGAAGGGTTTTCTTTCAGAGAAATCTAATAACCAGTGCTTTTAACCAACAGTTTGTATCTTCCTAATTTTGACTGTTTCTTAGCGTTGTTCTAGTAGGTAAAAAAGAGGTTAATGTCAGTGGTATACTTCTGTACATAAATCTTTAAAGTCTCCTAAGGCACAAGTTTCCAAACTCATGTGCAGTTCTAATCTGCAGATATTCTTCAAAGAGCAGAATCATGTAATCCTTTACTCATCCCATCTTTTATATGAAGTTCCTTGGTTTTAACATTAGGAAAAAAGCTTGAGATTGCATCACCTAGGGGTTTTTGTATGTTTCAGAATCCCAATTCTGCTATATTAGTTACTGTTTTGGATTTGCGTGGCAAGGGAGCACTGTAAGGGTGGCTTTTGTGAGAAGCTGCTAGAAGCTTCCGCTGTGTCCCATTGAGCAAATACCACCCCGATCCAAGAGGGACGTGCCACTGGCCAAGGCTGAGCCCATCAGCCACAGTGGTAGCACCCCTGGGATAACGTATTTAAGAAGGCAGAAAAAAACCCCTTGTGCAATGGCAATTGCAGCCAGAGAGAGAAGTGAGCATATGTGAGAGAAACAGCCCTGCAGACACCAAGGTCAGTGAAGAAGGAGAGGGAGGAGGTGCTCCAGGTGCCAGACCTAATGTTCCCTGGCAGCCCATGAAGAAGACCGCGGTGAGGCAGGTTGTCCCCATGCAGCCCATGGAGGTCAATGGTGGAGCAGAGATCTGCCTGCAGAGGACCCCACACTGAAGTGGGTGGATACCTGAAGAAGGCTATGACCCTGTGGGAAGCCCACATGGACCAGGCTCCTGACAGGACCTGTGGCCCCATGGAGAAAGGAGTCCATGCTGGAGTAGGTTTGCTGGCAGGACTTGTGACCCTCTGGGGGACCCACGCTGGAACAATCCATGAAGAACAGCAGCCTGTGTGAAAGACTCATATTGGAGAAGTTCATAGAGGACTGTCTCCAGTGGGAGGGATACCACACTGGAGTAGAGGAAGAGTGTGAGGAGTCCTCCCCTTGAGGAGGGGGTGGCAGAGACAACGTGTGACGAACTGAGTGCAACCCTTGTCCCCCTGTGCCCCCGTGGGGGAGAAAGTAGAGAAAATTGGCAGTAAAGTTGAGCCTGGGAAGAAGGGAAAAGTAAGGGATTGGTGTTTTCAAGATTTTTTTTTATTTCTTGTTATCCTATCAAATCCTCTGGTTTGATTAGTAATAAATTAATTTTCCCCAAGTCAAGTGTTTTCTATTATGGTAACTGGTGAGTGATCTCTCTGTCCTTATCTCGAGCTACAAGCCTTTAATTGTATTGTCTCTCCCCTGACCAGTTGAGGAGGGGAGTGACAGAGAGGCTTTGGGGGCATCTGGTGTCCATCCAGGGTCAGCCCACCACAGTCACAGTTTAGGATAGACAATTAGGATAGACAGTGGTCTGCTCTGCATTCCCCTTGGGAAGTCTGTTCTGCTTCGTGGCATACTGCTGTTCTCTTCCAATGGTGCTTAACTTCTTGTTTAGTGTTTTATGGTATTTGGATTACACAAAGTGAAACAAAGCCAGAGTTAAGCTATGTCAATTTTTTTTTATATATTTGTGTGGAAGAGAATGAACACACACCAGTGACAGCTAGGCTGGGATTAACCTTAAGGTGGCAGTTGAAATTTTTAGTGTGTTGAGAGTAAAAATGCTGCCTGCTTATTCTGGCTAGTATTGCTGATCCAGCCTGCCCTTATACTGTCAACAATGGTGGGAAGCTTCCTTTTAGAATTTTTTGAATGCACCAGTAGAAGAATGGGTACAGTAGAGTCAGTACACACAAGTACTTGTTTTTCATCTCGATTTGACAAGGTCTTTCACAAAATGCTGTTTAGGAACTTATATATAGGGGAGACTACTCTGGATCAGAAACCTGTTTTCTGTATCAGATGAGGAAAGGG